ACAAACTTGACTTATGCGATCTACTTCCAATTACACCCAATAATACTATAAACTCTTTTTACGGGCTGAAAAAACCGGAATTTAGCTATTTTCCCACTGTTTGAGAAGGAGGCAAAAAAACTGCGCACTATTCAGATTTGGTACATACTAGTTACTAGTCAGACGCTAACGACGCTAACCAAAGCTCATTTCTGCACAGATTTAAGGGTGCTGCAGAGCAATGCAACAACAAGTGATCAGCTGATGAAAGAAATTGCAAAATTCGTGAGATCGGAGGATGACTTAATAAGTCCCGAAGATCTTGAAAAACTGGAGCTTGCATTAAGCGCCCCCCGGTGGCATCCGCAGGTCAATCGTCCGCAGGACCTCCACCGCCACCCGCGTCTTTCACTCACGGGTTTGCTCACTGTTGTAGCGTCTCTATCCTAACGCACCAGTTTTTTAAAGTAGTCATTACTGGCTGGTTGACAGTAAAAATGTGAATTTGAATACTTTCGATTTATCTTTTACATTTATCCAAAACGGAATCAGGCGATATCTTTTCCTCTAGTTGGTCATAAAACAGACCGCTTAATTCTGCATCAGAGAAAATGTAAACATTGTAGACAACAATAGATTGTAGTACCTCAACTAAAATATGCAGCTGCATGTCTCTTAGGTTATTCCAGTTGATATTATGGGAAATAAAATTTCGGTATTGTTTTTTTGTTCTTTAAATGGGGGTTACTACGACCCACGATTTACTAAAAATATAGTTCGAAATTGATTCCTTATTTTAGGTCCCGGAAGACGTCTCTCACTTGTATCTAGAGTGGGTTCAATTACTTTCTAGTTTTTGAATCAAGCTTCACATTTTTGCTTCATATAAAGGTAAATGAAGCACACTAAGTACTCTTCCTTTGGTATCCGTTTGAGTTTAAGAGACAACATTTTTGCCCCGCTGTAGCAGGGAAATAAACGGCACAAAATGTATTTGATAAGGGAATTTTAAATTACTATTACCCTGTTTCATTTTGGAGTTAAAACGGCTTTGCTCCTTTCTAGAATGAGAATGCAATGGAATGGACAAATAAAAACCTCTCCGAGTGTCTGCCTAAAACTGCAGAAGCTTGTAGTGCAATGATCGGACACTTGCCATACCTCACTAGGCACCTGTATCTCCTGATTCGACTCACATCGGATCCAGCGCCCAAAATGAGAGGCATAGTGGAGGTGGACATTGGGATTCGTTTTGTTTTTCTCGCATTAACACCCAAAATTGATGAGGAAAGGGCTATGTATCAAATTGGACGGTGCTTTGCCACCATGCTAAACGAAAGTGTAAGAAACTTCCAAAAAGTCGATGCCATATAATTATTGAAAACTTTGATGACTCACCTATGCCATCGCTTCAAAAGAGAAATGAACTGTACATTAGTTGTCAAAAATTTGTTTATTTGATTTCCTTTGGCAGAAATTTCTCTCAGTCATACGTCAATCACAAAAACTAGCAGATATTTACAAGGCTGCACTGGTTTTTCGGCGGGAAATAATAGCGATCTCTGGCGGTTATTCAGAGGTACTCAATTGCCGTGGTGGAATTGATGTACCTCCTTCCTACGACAATGAAGTGGAGTTCGAAAGAGCCGACCTCGGTGGGTTTAAACTACCTCTCTTCTTCATTACTACAATTTATTCCAGTTGAAGGCACTTGTGAGTTAATCATGCATAGGCCAAACATGGCATAAGCTTAGCGCACAAAAATTGCAGTAACCATATGGTTAAATCCTGTCTATCCTTGTGTATGTGGATTTCTTCTTTTGAAGCTGAACTTTAAAGGGAGCGTTTTAGGTGATCAGGACCACACAAACTGCTTAATTTGATTCGAAGAATAGACTTTTATTGAGGGATTCTCTATTTCCTTACTCAGTGATGCACCCAGCCTGCCAAGTTTCGTTGTGCAAGAAATAGTCCCCCATCTTGTTACTGATGCTGATAATCCATTTAAAATCATTTTAATTCAGAATTTGTGCCATATTTTATTGAAAATGTCTACACGCTCACTGAAATCTAAGATCCACTTCATGGTTATAAAATGCTCTCTTCACAGTGTTCGAGGACGTCGTGGATGCCGCCTTAAACAACGAGATGACGTCGTCGAACCTGAGTCTCCAAAAAGAACCGCAAGTTCACTGTTCCAGTCGCTCATTCAAGCGCCTCTGTCCACCCTTCCGCGAACTGGTGGAGGGATTCAAGGCTCTCGCTTTTCGAATGCCCAGTGACTACATCGATGCCTTTACCAAGAACAAGGTGGGAACAATGTTGAGCAGTATCCCCTTCATATATTTCGTCGTTTTCGCACCGTCAGTTACTTTTGGGACCTTAATGTGTAAGTAAGCCTGTGTGTCTCTATCAGGGATAAGCAGATATTAAATGAGTTGCATAAAGATGTAAAAGCTGTGTTTCATTATCATGACAGTGGGCTTAAGTCGCAAAGTGGTTGATAGTACGTGTGGGGCTCGTGAAAGGTCAAATCTTTCTCCCAAGAAAGATTATTAATAAATAATTGGGCTTAATTTTCAACTCTAATTTCGTTCATGACTAAAGTACATATCTACCCATACAATTTTCCTATTTACATAGCGCTTTTTTCTTTGCACAAAGATGAAAAAACTAGAACATCTTTCTTGATCACTAGACCATTGTCTGATTCTTTCTATTATCTGTTTTCAATGCATTTGATAAAACGTTTATTTTTAAAAGAAAACAACTTATCGAACAAACAAGGTTCTGGATAAAAAATTAACATGCCTTAAGAGTTTCTATGACAGATCATTATGAGCAAAATAAGAACAATTTACAAAGAAAATCTCACTGAAGGATCTTTAGGGAGTTGATGAGGGCCTTGATGCATGTAATTCGACAGCTGCTAAAAATGTTAGTTTACGTGGAAGTAAAAAGGTTGGTTAAATGGTGGCATTCCAAATCTAACAGGGACCAATACTATCTTGCACACTTGACTTTCCAATTTGCATGCTTATTTTTTTTCTCAAAATAAAAAATGGGTGAGTTAGACTAATCAAGTTGGTTTGTTGCAATGCAGGATACATCAATGACGTTTTAAAGCTAGGCTACATAAAGAAATATCGCAGTACTCCAAAATTTCCCCAAAGGCAAAAGAAGGCATAATACCCAGATAAATTATATATATATTTTACATGCAATATAACTTGGGGTTACGGGTATGGTCCAGACGTCAGCCCACCCGGCGAAGGTACAAA